AAATTGTAGTGAATATTACACATAGAGCAGTGGGTGGCAATTACATTCCAATGACGATTGAATCTTCGTACATATGCTAATAAAAATGTCACGAACTTCTGAAAACTGAATTGTTCATTCACATTCGTCTTGTTGTTCGCCTTATTCACCAAAGGAGTGTATTGTTTAACAAAACTAATTTCAGGATTCTCCTCAAATTTATCTTTATATGCTGACAGAATCCGTGAAAAAGGATGTCTAGAAAACATAAATTTAGTGTACGTTTGAAGACGAATTTGTCTTTCTTTAAGTGGATATGTTTTCAGAAATTTGTATTTGTAAATATAAACACTCTTCGTTAATGTAAATGTAATGTAATCTTCTTGATTTTAAAACGACTTTTGGCAAAGGATGTTTTATATTGGATTAGTGTTGTCGCCGACCAGAAGCTGTCTTATCCCTCCCATACTAATAATTGTGTTAACGTATAATTTACACGCTTTTACATTAGTGCTACATAGTAAACGTTTACCCGTGAGCACTCCATACTGTACGAGGAATATAAATATAGATATGGCAGTCAGTCTACAAAACACAGTGATTCCTATCTTACCCATAGTTCATAGCATTCCTTAGTTGTTATTGATACATCTGCAAAAACAAAATACCCATAAGGAATTCGTCATTTCATAAGTCGATTTGTCAATACTGCCCTGTCTATGTCGGCATGTTTTATGGTTCATTGGATTGATTTGAAATGGGAATTGAGAATTAATTGCAATCAAAATTATTGAATGTGAAACATTGCAATTAAATGCAATCAAGAGAAAAACTTTATGATTAAATACATACCGCCATTTCGTTTTATGTTCACTACCATATACAATGACAACTCTAATTGGAAGTATATTTTTTAAAAAGTTATTATTAAAAATGTATTTGCAAAACGCACTACACATATTAAAAAAGTTATTATAAAAAAATACAATAAATATATAGGTAAAATTTATTAAAGTAGTTTTTTTATGAATTCATTTTCTAAATGTCAGTACTCCTGGAATTTCGAATAGCAAACGATAGCAGGTTTCACAGTAATGGCGACACGCAGTTAAAAGACTCATTGACCGTGTGATTTATTGAATTTATCACACGGAAGATTCAATTTCAACTTCTCAGCTGAGCTATGACCTTGATCTCGGAATATACAACTCTGCCAGAGACGTCAGATATTGTGGACCAATGCTATTGATAATTTTGAATGCGAACTCATGAAGCGAATACCAGTACTAGCATGTGATATGATCAAATTTGCATGAACGGTTTATTAAATCGCGTTGCGGCATTTTGGACAGACTGTAAGCGGATGAGTACGGATGTTTACCGATGCCGAATAATAGACTATTTGCAATAGTCTGTGATGTAACGAATGCATGGCATGGGTTTTCAGTGGTACTTGTGTTAAGTAGTTTACAGATTTTGCCATCCATATGGGGAGAAATACCTGTTTCTGGTTATTTTGCTAAATTTTTCCGATATGTCATGAATTATTACGGGCTTCGACAAATGTGTGAATTCTATTCGACTTCTTAAAAACACCATACCTCTGTGTGACGTCAGCACACATGACGTAGTCAATGGCGATGTGTACAAGGTTAATAATA